AGCATAGCGTATGTTTAATTATTACTTTCTGTTAATAAAGTCCGAAGTGTCACATATGGGTAAATTGATGCTTTGACGTCCGTTGTGTTTATGTTTTGATGATACACATACACATGTATAGATGTATACTTGAAATTGTTGCCTATAACCATACTACAGTATTTATTAAAAAAAACTTGCAACGACAAGATCTTAAATCGCTTTTTATATCCCACAAATGATTTATTTATGAAAGTATTGCATGACATAAGACGCAACAATGTAATTTTCATTTTGATTTTGACAGTGTTCGTAAAACTAAAAGGTTTAAATGTACGAGCAAAAGTTAAGATAATTAAATTTTGTAATTAATAGTGTATCTAGAGTGAAAATATAAAAAGGTTAATTTGAAAATTATGACGAGTACATTAGCGATGCTATCAGAAATTGAACAATTTTACGATCTTCCACATTCAATTCTTTTGGCATCAGCTATGTATGTACATATGCATATATGTTTATTTTATAACTTCTAAGGGTAGCGAATCTAATGAAGAAATTGACTTGCATAACACTCGTACACGTGTCAAATTAAAACTTTGAGATTTCTTTATTTATAACTTACGCTCATTTTTCGTTTTTAGAAAGTTTAAAGTCAGTGTTGCCACCTTTAGAATAAAAAAAAAACAATAATTTCCTTTAATAAAACTTACTAAAAATGCACAACTTTTTTATTCAACATTTTTTTAAATATTTAATCTATTGGGGATAACACGAAGTTGGTTGCTGTGATGATATTGTTGTTTTCTTACTGTGAAAAACAAACTAACACAATAAATTTATTTACTTTATAAAATCGGAAGGCTCCAAAATTGATACCAGTAAATTTCAGGGCATAAAAAGTACACTGTAATATTACTTACTTACTTACTTAAAAATACGACACTTTTTGCTTAATCTAGATTTGTTAATTCCATCGGGTGTTTTTAGAGAATATAATTTTATGTACTTCAAAAAAACATAATAATTTATATAATTTGATAATGTTTAGTGTTTGAAACAACAGTGTTTTTTCTGAACAAAAGGAAACCAAGAGTTGTTCGCAATCGAAATGCAACAATTTTACTTATTTCCCTGTAATGTGTGCCTCATATACAAGACATGTATGTATATTTATGCATTTATGCAAGGTAACTCTAGTGACAATATTGCATTGTTATTTTAGTTGACAATACTCATATCAATTACATGGTGTTCACAGTATTACACTTAGCTAACGAGAACCATTCAATTTAATTACGTGGGAATTATGTTCTTTTACGCTTACATCGATTTTCTTTCTTTTTAATTAAGGTTAGGTTATACTGGCTGGCTTGCACACCATACTTAGATCTACAGGTCCTTTGTAATGGCAGATAAGATTGCGTTTTATACGAGGTGAAATTTACGTCGTGCACGACATCAACGCACTGCGAAGTTTAATAGAAACTTGACGTCTTGACGATCGTGCATGCCTTTAAGGCATTCTATCTCACCCTAATCCGTCTGTCAGCCTCTTCGGAAATTTGATTGTGTATCGTTATAAGCGACTTGTGTATTTTCCGAATTGGTTCGGTAGCCAAGCGGATGGCACTTTTGGCAACGGAAACCCTTTGTGGCCAGGAACCTAGCATATATGCATTCCACACTTAAATTAAGTGTTTAAAATATAAGCATGCTTTTTGTTTTCTGCTCATAAATCGGTTAAACCCTATTGGTACGTGAATTTAATGCAAATCTGCGTAATTTAAGACAAGACATACAAACAAAAACTTTTAAGTCAAAAAAGTAAACATATTATTACAAAAGCAATTTAAAAATTAAATAAAAAACCGCAATGTAACGAATAAAAAAAATACGTTTCATATGAAATATAATATCAATATGAAAAAATACAATATCATTAGTCGAATAAACTACAAAAAAAAACGAGATAACATAGCTTACTAGCTAATTTTTAAGAAAAAAATAGAAACTCAAATAAAACAAGTAAGGAAGGGCTAAGTTCGAATGTAACCGAACATTTTATACTCTCGCAAAGTCAAATGGCATACTCGTTTGAGATTTCTTTGTGGATTGACTGATATTTTTGGTAGAAGGTCAACTATAGGCAGTGGGGTCCACATATAATATTTAGTACTTAGGGGCTTGAACAGTTTTGGTTCGATGTAGACAATTTTTGGTCACAAGGTGGCATACTTTAAACGTATTATTCACGCAAAGTTTTACCCCGATATAATCATTGTTGCTTGATATGCATAGTGGAAAGTGAAAGAATTAGATGGAATTGAAAATGGTGTTATATGGGAAATAGGCGTGGTTGTAGTCCGATTTCGTCCATTTTCGCACTATGACATAGAAATATAAAAAGAACGTTATACACCGAAATCGGTTAAGCAGACCCCAAGATATGGGTTTTCACCTAAAAGTGGGCGGTGCCACGTCTAATTTTGAACACAGTTCCTATAAAGTTATCTGATACCATCCCAGAAATAAAATTTAATGTCTCTGGCGTGTTTCGTGCTTGATTTATCGCGCTTTTAGTAGTTTTTAACAGTATCGTTATATGGGGAGTGGGCGGAATTGCCACCCGATTTCAACTATTTTCACACTGTAGGTAGAGGTTCCAAAAACATTTGCTTCATTAAATCTACTAGGGGCGGGACCACGCTCACTTAAAAAAAAATTTAACTGCAGATGCCCCTCCCTAATGTGATCCTCTGTACCAAATAACAGTCTTGTATCTTATTGCGGAGCTTGTTATGGCAATTTATTTGTTTTTGATTAATGGCGTTTTGTGGGCGTGGCAGTGGTCCGATTACGCCCATCTGCAATACCAACCGTCTCCCGGTGCCAAGAAACATGTCTACCAAGTTTCATAAAGATATCTAAATTTTTACTCAAGTTAGAGCTTGCACGGACGGAGGGACAGACAGTCACCCAGATTTCAACTCGTCTCTTCATCTTGATCATTTATGTATATATAACCCTAACTCGATTAGTTTTAGGTGATACAAACAACCGTTAGGTGAACAAAACTATTATACTCTGTAGCAACAGGAGAGAGAGGACAGAGAGTATAAAAAACTTTAAATCCACTTGTGTTCCACACAAAAACGTAGATAGTAAGCAAACATAAATGGAGCAAAAAATAACGAAATAAATGTAATGACGTATTTAACACGTCACGGCGCGTGAATATCAAGATTTCAGCACCGAAAATTCAGCAAAGAAATCGACAAAAAATGAAAAATCAAGCAAAACTGAGTGTGAGAAAGAAGAGAAATACAAAATAAATAAATATATGAGTTAGCTCGAGATATACAAGTATAAATATAAAGTGCAAATTCGAATAGCAATAATTAAAAATGCCACTGTATAAATGTACGAACAATCACAAATATTAGTTTGCTGATTTTGCGAGCCATAGAGACATATTAGCAATTGCCATTAAAATAAAAGGGGCAACACTTTAGCACAGCAACAAAATCGCGAAAAGCACTAGCAAGAGTTGTTTGACTAGAGCGAGTGAGTGGCGTTGATAGCAAATAAAAATAAGAAAAGCATAACACAATTATAACAACTTAAAACAATCGAAGCGCACAGCTAGTGGAGTATAGCGACAGCAATGTTTTTCCACAATCGAGTGCACTTGAACGTGTAATTCCGATATTTTCTTTACACTTGCGATTACCGCACTCAAACACGCGTAACAAATATGAGTATATACGTAAGTATATATCAAGTGCAGTAAATTTACCATAATAACAGCTTAGCATCTCTATTGCAGAACAAAAAAAGAACCAAACAAGAAGATTAAAAAAGTATGACGAAACACAGCATGCAAAAGTCACTATTAAACAGCTGGCCTGCTGCTGGCTCAGCAACAACACATACCACAAATAAAAACCTACTGTGTGAACTTTATACATTTGTATGTGAATACAAAATGCAATGGTACGATGTGCACTGCCCTCTCGGACATGCAACGCTGTCTGCGGTAGCAGTGTCACCGACTAGGTACTTGTTTTAATTACTTTTTCTTCTTTAGAAATAGCAAAATATCTTGCATTTATTTAACAGCAGAGTAACTTGCCACACACACACGCATATGGCAACATAGAAAAATCAAGAAAAAAATTAAAACACATTGTGGTCTGTAGCGAGAGAAGCCAAAGCAGCGCTGACGACGTCGAAGTCAGCGTCTTATCGCCGCATTTCGAAAAGGTTAAAAACTTGTTTCTAGACCACATGATGACGTTTGACTGTGACGATGTCTGTCGACAGCCAATACCGACGTTGTGCGCTGACATCGTCTGCTGCTCGTTTAGATTTTTACCGAATGCCTGCCTGGCTAACTTAAGCTGGCGAGCTGGCTGAGTGGCCGCTTGAGGTGTAGACTGTCGGCCTTATAGGCAGACATTCGATTTCGTAGTAGTCAACGTTGACTATATCACTGTCTACCAACTTTTCTATTTTTTTCTTTTTATTTGGAGTTTTCATTGCTTGACTAATTCATTCTCCACCTATTTCTAGTTTTTGTTTATTTTCCCACAGTACTCACTTTATGTATTCCTGCATCAAATACCAGAAATACAGATTTTCACACGCTTATTGTTTTTACTGCGGTGTGCTTTTATTTTTTTAGTTTAATTGTGTAAGAGGTTTCTAGTAAAGCGGATATGCACATAAAATTGAAGAAATTTGTGGAAGTTTACAATATCAAGAGAAACAACTAATTACAAAATTTATATTTGTGTGTATTTAAATTTCAGGCACGTACTTTTAAAGCGCCTTTTAGACTTTCTCGTGTTTTCACGCGCTCTACTTCACAACGTTTCACGCTTTACCTACAAAATATTTATCGACAATTATGGAATTTCTACACATACACAACACATGTAACATATGTATATTTGCATTTTCATGCCTTATGTTAACAAAACACTTATGTTGTTTCGTATTTCGTATTTTTACTTCACCTTTTTCCACTTTAGCACTTATGCGCTGCTTCTTCCGCGATGTTTAGCGAACGATTTCAATTCTAAATGCGCTGACTGCCTCGTCGAACAAAGACTCTGCTTCAGCTCACGCACACGGGTGCGTTTGTGTTAGTTAATATTCCTGCTCAACTTGTATGTATAATGTTTTATTATTGGGGTTTTTTCACTCTATCTTTATTTTACAATAAATTTTTAGCTTCTTGCTGCTTTTATGCAAGCGTTTTGCCTCACAACTTTTGAATTCGCTTTACTTCTTGCGTTTTTCATTAAATTTTGTGTGTATACTTTGCAGCGATTAAAATTTTCTCATCATAAAGAAATTTATATAAATCACATACATACACAAACGCTGCTCCAATGCATATACGTATGTATTTTATATATTATATATACACACACACAAACACTGTTTTATTTGTATTATTTAGTTGCACACGCGTAACGCGATTTCATTACTTAAGTAAATATTTTATGGAAAAAATTCACAATCACTGTAATATTAAATTTAGTAATACTACTTCACTGCCTGCTCCGTTGTGGGCATCCGTTCCAAACGAGTTATGAGGCTAGACTGAGTGCTGAACGAGCGCACTGAGTGCTACTTGTAGTAGCGATGACGAGAGAGAAAATTTGCTTGCCAGCCTTTGAAGCAGTAAATTGTCAGCACACGCTCACATCCAATGAGGGATCATGTATGGGTGGCGGGACTATAAAGCGCAGCTGTGGGGAGCACACAAGTACATGGAGCGTGGCAAAATCTCCAAGATATTCGCTACCACCTAGTCAATTTTAGTGTGACTGCTCATTAATTTTTTTCCTACTACAACGGATAATAAGCTACTACAAAATTTGAGCGGCACCTGTGCTCTGCACACGCGAAACGTTCGCTCACGCCAGGTAATGCGACTGTAAAAAAAGAAAATCATTTGCGCGTTTGCGCAATTCGTGTGTATACCGTAAACTGTGCTAAATTTGCATACAATTCGCTTAGCCACAATGGAACCAACAGCCAGTGTAAATTTTTTTTTTAAAAAATGCCAATAAATTAATATTAGTTGGTTACAGTTAAAGTTATATATAATAGAAATTATCCACTAAACCATGAAATGCATTAATTTAATTTTAAAAACGAGTCAACTGCTTATTGCACACACATATTCCACACATACAACTCAAAACATTCCATCTTGTTTGCCACTGTCATTGTCATTTCAAATGACTAGCAAGTATTTTTATTTGTGTTCATTAAACTCAATAAATTACTATCGCAATTGGAATTACAAATTTATATTAATTAAGTTGGGGTTCTTTTTTAAATATATAATTTAATGCATATTGTATATTTTTATTTTAAATAATAGACCTAAACCGGATTTGCGACCCTTCAGCAATGATAAATTCGCAAGCGCCACAGTAAATTAAGTGAGTGCAAAAATTCCGTAGTATAACTCTTAAAAACATGAGATCATCGATACTTTTGTATTATAATCAATAAGAGATAAAGACAGTGTAAAATGAAATACTTTATATATATGTATGTATTCCGTTGCGATAACTTTATACATTTGCAGAATTGAAGAGAATTCCACAATTTCAGGCGTATAACTCAAAAATGAGATCATTGCTATTAATGGCGAGGAAATCGTCACTGAATGTAGGGCTACGCGTAAATTATAGTATACAGTAACTGGTTTGGCGAAATTTCAGTTACGATAACTTTGAAAGAAGTATAATAACAAGAGAACGCAAGAGAAAGCATGAGATTATTGGTATTGACAAAACTCTGAATTTGAACAAGAAACACGAACGATTTTTTTCGATACCTTTTAAAAATTTCTGATTTTAATGTTAACTATATGCATATTTAATAGGTTAGTTTTAGTCATCAATTGATAATCAGTTTTTTGAAAAAGCATTACTACATTACACATCCTATTTTAATCACACTGTTGGAGAAAAAAAGGAAGCAATTTATAATTTCCTAAGAAAGAAGTACTTTAGTACTAAAGTACTAAACACTAAATTCAAATATATTAAATTTAGAAAATGAGAGCGGAAGAGAGGGAGAGAGAGAAAAAAATTGAAGATTAGTTTGTTGAGACAAAATTCTCAATAGCTCAGGCTACCGAAAAGTAGTTAATAGGAGAAATAGAGAATAGAGAGGATCTCTTTTGCAGAAAACAGAATTATCGGACAATGAATGAATTTTCCAAAACCTATAGTAGAAGGGAAATGCTTGCAAAAACAGATTTCCTCACATGAAGTGTGATTCATTGAGAAAAATATTTGGAGACCCTCCAACATGTTTTATGTACTTGAATTTTAAAGCAATTACAATATTGGTAATCTACAATAATTCGTAATTCATTATTACACTTAAATATAAAATGTGTACGCAGCTTTCCAGAATAATATGATTAAAGTATGAATAGGTAATTCAAAAAAATACTACGGAACAATATTTTTAATACATAATAATAATATTTTAGTTGAAGGAATTTGAAAAAAAACCATACTTTTAGTCAATAATACTAACAAAATAGAACTACTGAGTCTACCCATATTACATGTGAGCTCATGTTGCGATATCAGCTGTTTTGTGAATCTTGCAATTCCACATATAGGTAATAATAACAAGTAAGGAAGACCTTAGTGCGGGTGTAACCGAACATTTTATACTCTTGCAAGAATCTAAGCCTTGCAATAAGGGAAATTCCTTCAGGTGCTAGCAAAACTTTGTATTAAAAAATGTCGCGAAAAAGTTAAACATCCATTATTCAATGAAATCGTGAATAAATTACATTCAAATTTGGAATCTTCTTGACTTATATTGAAGGCCATAAACTTAGACTTAGTTTTATTGCTATATTTTAGTTTGCCTCAGCTATAATTATATTAAAAACAGCTTCAAATGAAATACATATACCATATGTATGTGATATTAACTCGACCGAAGCGGCTAAATTTAATATATTGAATTTTTAAGAAACCTTGTCCTTTAATTTAATTATATTATATTATATATATTATAATCGGTATAAAATGTTAGAATAGCGAAAATCATTATAAGTGGTATATAGAATTTTACCAATTTTTGCCAATACCAGATACTACTAACAGACTAATAAAATGCTTCCAGGGCTTTATTAAGGTACCTCACATACCATCACCAATCATATGGAGTAAAGTCAGCCGGATGTTGGAAAATCCTGACATTAGGGCTAGGTCAGGTTTTCACTTAATTTTATCCGTTTTACACACAAAGATACAATTTTAAGATTAAAGTACGCTGACTAATTTTCATTGAGATAAATCACATATTGTCCGATATATGCGGTAAAAAATCACCCGGAAGTCCAAAAATCTTTATATTATACACATATATGCGACTAAGAAAAGATTCAACCCATTTTTGACATACAGACATACAATTATAAGGAAAAGCTCCTGTCTGAATTTCAATTATATTTCTCACACATTGATCGATATTTTCGGTAAAAAGTCAACTATATGTACTTCGGTACCCAAGGGCTTGAACAATTTTGGTTTGATTTGGACAATTTTTGGTCATATAGTGGTATACTTTAAAGACAGTAATCCTGAAAAATTTTATATCGACACATTAATTTTAGCTTGCTTTGCATACCAGAAAGTGAGAGAATCAGATGGAATTTAAAATTGTGTTATATGGGAAGTAGGCTTGGTTGTAGTGCGATTTCACACATTTTCACACTGTAACATAGGAATATTAGAAATGAGAATGATATATAGCGAATTTGGTTGAAATCGGTCGAGCAGTTTCCGAGATATGGCCCTCCTTAATGTGATTCGTTATACCAAATAACAATCTTGTATATTTTTGTGGACCTTAGTTATGGCAATTTATTGTTTTCGATTAATGGCGTTTTGTGGGCGTGACAATAGTATATATATACAAGATATCTCAATTTTTACTCAATTTACAGCTTGTACAGACGGACGGACGAACAGACAGACAGTCACTCGGAATTCAACTCGTCTCTTCATCCTGATCATTTGTATATGTATATATAACCCTATGTCTAATTCGATTAGTTTTGGATGATACAAACAACCGTGAAAAAGAAACTATTATACTCTGTACCAACATGTTGCAAGAGTATAAAAATGTTGAACAAAAGCAGCTGTCAAGTGTGTTTAGCACTCATGACGTGAATTATTAAATAAAAAAACAGTTTACAGTTATACTTTTGTGCATACACATAAAACGACTGAAATTGAGAGAAAGCCTCAAATAAAAAGTAAATAAAAACACAAATGCAATAGAAAAGCATAAGCAAAATAAAAACTAAACAAATATGAGATTAAGATTTCTTTTGTTGTATGAAATAAACCACAGAAAGCTTATTTAAATTAGCAACACCATAAATTTTACCATAATGTCATTATAGCTCTAGTTAGTAGGAAACTTTAGACCGCTTAATGTCTGTAGGTAGAGAAGCCCTCATAATCCAACAAAATTTCCATAGACTGTGAAAAAACGTCTTGACAATCGTAAAGATAAGGTGAATTAAGGCGCGTGGCTGACTAGCATGCAGAGCACAAAATGGAGAAACGAAAAAAAAGGAAATTTAATATTATGAGTTCCTTGAATGTATTACTTTTACTACCGTCTAACTCTTTTTTGTTATATAAATTTTTTGTATTATAAACCATTTTATTACTTTAATACAGTGTAATTTTATTTCAGTGTTTCTTGTTTCACCGTTCCGTAGCTTATTTGGCGCGTTCAAATCAAATTTGATAAGATAATATATGTATGTACCTATATATGCAAAAACAGTGTTATTTATATGACAATCTGAAGGCGCCATAAAACGAGTTTGTAGCGTCACTAGCAACGCAAAGTATTTGTTTGGCTTTTCACACTCTTTTTATGAAATGCAAGAATAAGCTGTACAAAATAAACAAATAAATAAATAAATAATAAGGTGCAACTGGTTGTGTTCAGCTATTTAATATACATATGTATTTAGCACATTCACATTAAATATACATTTAATAATAAAATAAAGAATAAAAAAATGAAATAAATTAAAATTCCATTCACAGTTTTCTTCTGAAACAACAAAGATGGGCACAATACAACAAACATAACACAAGTAAATAACGTTAAGATAATACATATGTTATTAAAGTATTCGAGATTTGTACAAAAATGAAAGCAAAAACAAGTAATGAAGGGCTATTAGCTTGATTTATTTAGCATATGCTGATTAAAATTCCTCGTTCTTTTATTCCATATAGTGAAGTACTATAGGTTCCATTGTTGACAACAAATGTGGACTTCTTATAAATAAAGTTTTAGTAACTGAGAAATGATTAAGTCAAGTAAGTCTAAATTATGGACAGCTTGGTTTAGACACCGAGAATGTTTTAAAAATAAATATCTTCAAATGTTTTAATAAAGTAATCCGTTGACTATTTTCGAGCATCAAAAAATGCTGTTAGCACTTCTTTTTTTCTTATCAGCTACACTCGCTTCCGGGCGAAATTTTATATGTGTCAAACTATTCTAAAAATGTTAACCCAATTGGGCACATAACATTACTCTCTTATCAGTTATTAGTTGAATTGGTTTTTGTCTACGCGACTATAAATATTATATCTTACTGTTTTCCGCAAAAAAAAAAGAACGCAGTTTTTGTGAAAGTATGGATAACCAAATGACAAGGGAAAAGAAAAATACAATAAAGACTATAAGAGAAATCAGACAAACAATACTTCAATTAAATAGTTTAAATTACGTTGGAAAGAAACTAAAAGTGAGATTTGGAAGAACATCTAATAATACTATTCGTTTTCATTTTTGGTAGTGAGTTGAGGACTTGACAAACAGACAAAAGATGGCGAATTCCACTAGCGTTCGATACATAGTACCTATTACCTTCAAATTAAAGGGTATATGAACATATTTTTTGGTGAAGATGAAATCATAATTTTCATTCACATATGTATGTAATGTTTGTACCGCTCGATACTTTGCCATAAAATACTCGAAACGCCCATTATTATTTTTTTTGTGGGTGGCAGACCTATACCGCTATCGTA